CTGTTCTAACACCTTGCCCAGAAACGGGATGTTATATAATTGGTGGCCATCTCTGGATCCAGGGACGCCTTCTTTAGGACTGGCCGGACTACCGCCTCCTTTAGAGAGGCAGGTACCCGGCCATCTCTCAGAGAGGCGTTGATGACCTCCAGGATCCAGGCACCAATCCTGTGTTTGGCTTTGTTCAGTAGCCACAATGGGCAAGGGTCTAGTAAACAGGTGGTGGGACGTACTTGTCCAAGCATCTTGTTCACATCATCAGGCCGCAATAACTGAAACTCATCCAATAATACCTGACCAGACGGTGACATTGGCACCTCCCCTAAGGGCTCTGAATCACTAGTGGAGTTCAGCTTGTGACGAATCTGAGCGATTTTCTCCTTAAAATGCTTGGCAAAGTTGTCACAGCGGGCTATCAAGGGTGGTACAGGATCTTTCTTAGGGCCTGGATGTACCAGCCCCTGTACCACCCGAAAGAGCTCCGCTGGACGGCATTGTGAGGAGGCAATGGAAGTGGAGAAGAATTTCTTCTTCGCCGCCCTCACCGCTACAGCATAGGCTAGATAGTGAGCTCGCAAGTATATTTGGTCAGATTCATCCTGTGATTTCCTCCACCTGTGTCGAGGTGCTACTCAACATGTAAACAACCCACATGTTCACGAGCAATAAAACTAAAATCTTTTATTGCTACTTGTCTACAAAATTTACAGCTCTATAGATAAGCTCTTCTGTTGAGATCTTTGGAATGCAGATGTTAATGGTGTCTCTCCCTGAGCCCACGTGGGACTAGCCGTCCTGGTCACACCTTTCTTCCCTCTGGCGTAACAAGCTCTGCCTTTGCTCGTATCTTCCAAGAATTCTACGATTGGTCGCTAGAGAAAAGTCTATTATGCCCCCTGCGTCTCCTGTGTCATGTTCAGGAAGTTCAGCGTCAGTAGGAGGAGGGACAGCCTGCTCTGACTCCTTCTGAGTGGAACTCGCAGTGTCTTTTCTCTCAGGGCTCTCTTGCTTTGATGTGGGCTCGGGTGTTTGCTCAATGGGCCGGGAGTCAGTGGGAGGTGCAGCTATCTGCTCATCCACCCCCAAGCTAGGTTGCGGGGTTGGCTTTTGGATACAGGGTCCTAAGCACAAGACCTCCTTGTGAGGTGCTGTTTTTGTCGGGGCTTCAGGCATGACAACCTACGCACTAGACGTTTCCCAACCAGCTTCATTGCCCATAATTCAGGTGTATACCGGGCTATGAACAGGCTCTGCTAGGAGGGACAGGACACTTAGGAGCGATCATGTCAATAGCTCTGGCCATTTCCCTATTCCACAGTTCAACCAGAGCATCGACAGGAGCACCAGCCTTATCAGCCGGAAACTCCCCCAGAGCGTTCAGGAATCCATCCGGATCCATTTGGCTCTGAGGGCAGGCCAACACAATAGGGTCCGCACCCTCACAGAGGGAAAGGCTGCCATCGAGGTCAAACCTCATGAGGAAGTGATCTGACCATGACAGGGGAGTCAGACACAAATTCCTCATCCTCAGATCATCCTCTTCCTGCCCCGTCAAGAAAACCAGGTCCAGCATGTGTCCACATTCATGGGTTGGGCCTGTGACATGTTGAGACAGTCCCTTGGCCGTCATAGAGGCCATGAGGTCCTGAGCCACCCTGGTCAGAACAGCCTCGTCATGGAAATTGAAGGACCAACATCCTGGGGGTCTTCAACACCAGGTCTGAGACGATCTCCATCAGCTCAGACAGGGAATCTGATGGGCAGAAGGGTGCACGGTACACCAACAGAATCCGCAATCTGTCTTGGTCGCCCAGCACCAGATAGAGGCACTCTAGACCCAGTCTTGAGAGAACAGGAAGCCCCGTGAGGGAGATAGAAGCTCGATAAATTAAGGTGACCCCCCCCCCGGGCGTGGCCAGTGCTGGACCAGATACCCAGGCGGGCACAGTAAAGAGAGGGACACATCCCCCCCTCTCCCGCCCAGGTCTCTGTTATGCAAGCCAGGTCGGCCCCCTCATCCACTATCAAGTCGTGGATGAGGGATGTTTTGTTGTGGACCGACCTGGCATTAAGCAACAGCACTGTCAGGCCTGAGGGGCGGTTGATAAGCCTACCTGGAACCTTCCGGCTGGAGGAATAACCAGAAGGGGGAACAGGTGTCAACCATCTGTTCCTCCTTCTTCTACGCTGACTTGTTAAACCCTCAACGCCATAACGACCATTGCCCGAGACCACCCCAGTGGTAGCACCCATGTGCTCCCCAGACAACCTCATGGTAGCAGCCAGGTGTGAATCCATTAAAACAATCTAAGCTAAAATACAATTTAAAATACAATAAAACCATAAAAGCCACCAACCACCCAAAGACAAAAACTCCACTGCACAAAGTCTATGGCCAGCCCAGCCCCCGAACGGCCCAAACGGCCATGACGCCCTTAGGCCGTCGCCCTTAGGCCGCTGGCCCTGACCGTGGCCAGTGAGTTAAGCCAGTGGCTCCTCCCTGCCCCCCGCCCCCAATCTGGCACAGCTGCCACCCACGCCAGCGGGGGAGGGGGGCAAGGGCGGCAGCGGAGAAACTCGCCGGCGAAGATGGAGATGGAGGGCCCAGAGGCCGGCAGCAGCGTCCCCAGCAGTGTCTGTTGGGCGGCATCGGTGTCAGCGGTCCGGCGGGTCGGCCTCATCGTCTGCGGGTGGCGGTGGTAGGTGGAGGCCCAGCCCACTTCTTGTGACACTGCCCAAATGAAGCTTCACATTTCAGACCCCTGTAGTTGTACACCTTTGCACTTAAACAAAACTGACTATTTTTTAAAATAACAAATATTTGCACATATTATTTGCACTTTTTTAAAAAAGGTGGTGAATCAGTAACAGCCTCTCCAACATGCTGCTTGGACACATTAGCCAAAAATGTCCAGAAAGAAAGGAGAAGGCAAAACAAGTCATACTGAGTGCAAAAGTGCTTGTTAATACACTGAGGAAAGAAGAAAAGGCAGCTTTAGTCATCAAGTCTCCTCAGGTACCAGATGGGTGACTTCAATTGATACGTACTGTCATTGAATGCATCTAAAGAAAGGCTAGATTGTCCAAATACTTGGCCTGATTTAACAAATGAGAAAGCCACAAAAGCTCTTCACAGTACGTAGTTGGTAAAAGGAGTGTGTGTAGCTTGGTTCTCATGGAATGACAACCCAGAGTATTAGCTGAGTATAGATTGTTATATGTGAAGCCAAAACTATGGATTAACTATGACTTGTTAACCACAAAGCAACCCAGGATGAGAACCCATGATTTGTTGTTGCATTGTGAACTCTGGGTTGTTTTAACTATAGCTTGTTGTTCTGTGCAAATTCAAAACCATTTTCATCAAGCTACAGAGGTGGCAGGCAAGAATAGTTTTTTAAAAACCTGGCTGTCAGTGCTGTAGTGCTGCAAAAGTATTTGGGATACAAGGAGTGAGCAGGCAAAGGAGAGGGGATAAAGCAATCCAGGAATCGAAAAAACTACCTAGACTTGCATGATTGAAAGGCATTGGCAAATTCTAGATCAGGCAACAATGGATAAGCCGTGAACCAAGTCTGTATGTCTCTGTTCTTTTCTTCCCTTTTGTAGAAATTAGAGTCTGGAATTTGTAGGAATGTTATTAATTCAATTTAGTTCTTATGAGTTTGGATTTGGGTTAAACAAAAATGCTATTTTAGTTTTAATTGGAACATTTACGCTTTATTTGGGAATTCTTACAAGAAATGTGTTTGTAAATTTGTTTTAATGTTTTAAATTTTTTAATGTATCTTTGTTTTGTTTTTATGTTTCTATGCATTTTTGTATTTTTACATTGTACCTAAAGAAGGAACTTTGTTCTGAAATGCATTGGGCATGAATAAATTGCTTTGGCATTTTAGAAACAGTTTTTCTCATGTTTTACATGCATTCCATTCCTTTCCCTTTTTAGGTTTTTTTAATTTTGAAATCTATTTTCAATTATGCCTCTCACATGAGGTGAAGAATACTGATGTTTGCAAGCAATTTTTCAATACAATCCTGTGTTGGTTTAGTTGGTCCTATGAAGTTTAATGGGGTTACTCACTAGTCAGTTCAAGAGATTTTATTTCCCCAACTTTATCTAATTTAACCAAGGCTATTATGGCATTGCTAGTCTTGTGCAGCTTGCAGATTTATATCCAGCATCTGTGTATTGGCTAGCTTTCTGCTCTGTGTTAAAGTAATGTGTTAGGTATATTAAGGGAACTTTTAAAGTATTAACTCTGGTAAAGCCTTTTTCACATGTTTCATCCTTCTATGAAATAAGATGCAGTAGTAAATTTCAGCCAATATTGGACTCATTGATTCAGACCACAAATGACTGATTTACCATAACCCTTCTTTTGCATTTCTTGTATCAACAAAAGCCTGGAAATGTATTGCTTAAGAACATTTTAGCAGCAGCATAAGATGGATTTGCCATTTGTGGAAAAATATGGCCAGTATTGAGTTAACATCATGCTTGTTCACAGGAATAGGGTAAAAGGGAGCTTTCAGCTACTGGGTGGTATAAAAAATGAATAACTAAATAGACTTCGCACCACTTTATCTCATCTTTCTCTATCTCTGTCTAACAGAATCGGTGAGTTCATGTGTTTTGTTTATTGCCTGCTTATCACAGTGAGATGTAAAGAACATAAATGCCCTGCTGGATCAGACTTCTAGTCCATCTAGTTCATCATTCTTTTCATGCAATGGCAAACCAGCTGCCACAAACAAAATATGAGTTGAACCTCCTGCCCAGGTTCCCGAGGAACTGGTGTACATAGACACACTGCCTCATACTGGAAGTAGCAGGCAGCCACCAGGACTAGTAGCCATTGATAGTCTTCTGCTTTGTGAATTTGTCTAATCACCTTTAAAGTAATTCAGATTGGTGGCCATCACTACACCTTATGGAAGTGAATTCCATAGTTTAACTATGCTGTGTAAAGTGCTTCCTTTGTAATTTGCTTATATAGGTGAAATCCAACAGGAGATGTTAGAAGATGCCCAAAACAAGTTAATGAACCTTATAAACAGTACAGAAGGAAAAGTGGATAAGTGAGTGATTTTTAAAGTTTATTTGGGAATGTACACTATTTTGAGAAGTGGTGTAAGCTTGCTATGGGAAAATAGTAGTTGTGATAATTGGTATTTTTAAATAGTGTTGCTAAGGCTGTAATATTTAATTGATAAAATCAATTAAAGACTTCCCATTTTTAAAATTTACTAATAATTGAATCCATTTTAGAGTTGGCATACTCCTTCACTCTTTTAACTTTGTGCCTGCCATTTCCCACTCCCCTTTCTTGGGCAACAGGACTAGGAGAATGGAAGCTTACACCTTTCTTGTGTATTGTTCATGCTTAAGGTGCCTTCACCTTAATCTTGAAGGAGTGAACTTGATAAGTAAAACCTGCTCAGTTACCAAGGCAAAACATATTACGAACTTCCAACCAGGCTGTAAGGTTTGGTTTCTGTAGTTTTCTATGGAAGTAGCCCTGTTGAAATTAGTGGGAATTTTTTCAAATAGCTTGTTCCTATAAATATGTTCTCTTCCTTTGTAACTACAAGTTTAATGAAAACTTAAGTGATTGATTAACATAGCAGATAATCTAGTTCAATCTAGTGCTACTTAAAAATAGTATGGGGAGAAATGCTAAGACAAATGTCCCCTTTCTCCATTGCTGCCAATCTCAAATGTTATTTGCTTTTATCTCCACATTTGTAGGGTCTTAATGAGAAATCTTTTCATTGGGCATTTCCACACTCCAAAGAACAAACGCCATGAAGTGCTAAGGCTAATGGGAAGCATTCTGGGAATAAAAAAGGATGAACTAGAGCAGGTAATTTTCCTCTGTTTTTTCTCTGTGGCAGTGTCAATAGATGAGTATGCTTTCTTCTGCTGTTGGGCAAGACACAATGGCCAGGTAGTCCATTCTGAAATAGACCAAGTAGTCTGTTCTCTAAGCATTTTGTGATTATTGCCTTTATTTTAATAATATAAAATCCATGGAAATATAGCACTTTCTGCTAAGTGTTCATGGTACAAGAAGAAGAAATTGACTTAATTGTTGTTGGTCACAAAACTCTTACAAACTTAATCATTTCCTAGTTGATAGTAGCTTTCTCAACACATACCATTTTCAGTCTTGCTATACTGTTTATTCTGGTCAGATTTTATAAACAAACTTCAATTTCTTGCTCATTAGCAAAAATTAAAAAGATTTCTCTTCAGTACAAAATATCTGTGCTGGCCTAGTTTTCTGCCAAGATAAAGTGCTTTTTATTTTATTTTTATTTATTTAGGAAACTTCTATGCCGCCCCATTCGCCGAGGCCTCGGGGCGGCTCACAATAATAAATAAATAAACACAATATAAAAACAATATAATTTGAGCCGACCTGGCCAATCAATCAATCAATCAATCAATCAAAATTAACAAAATAACGTTTGAATAAAAAGGTCTTCGCCTGGCGCCAAAAAACAGATAACGACGGCGCCAGGCGGACCTCTCTGGGGAGTGCATTCCATAGATTGGGCGCCACCGCAGAGAGAGCCCTCCTCCGAGTACTTACCCTCCTAATATCCTTCACGGAGGGTTCCCGGAGAAGGGCCTTTCCCGCTGATCTCAAGGGGCGGGCGGGCATATATGGACATAAGTGCTCCTTCAGGTAGCCAGGACCCAAGCCTTTTACCAAAGGATAAACATTTTGTAATATGTTGTGAAACAAGAGGGCTGTGTACTAAGAGGCAAAGCCAAATAAATCCTGTATGAATTATTTAATTTCCATTTTCTGGTGTATAATATATTCTGCTTCTGTTTAGAGGTTGACAAATAAAATTATGCTCTTCTGCTGCCTTTGAATGACTTATGTGATTTATTTCAGCTTTCCTTTTCATAATGGTATAGTTTCCTGATGGCCTCAACTGCATTTTGTGCAGTTTGTCTTGTATGCTACTCTGTTGAGGTTAAGTCCTAAAAACAGATAATATGATGGTTGAAAAGGATTGTAAACTTTTCTTTTGGTTTGAATTGCTCTTCAGTTACTTTCAGAAGATCAAAAAGGTGTTACTCGATGGGTGACTGGATGGTTTGGTGGAGGAGGAACTGGGTCAAAGAGTGTCCCCAATACGCCTTTGAGACCAACCCATCAATCACTTTTCAACAGTGTACGTATTTTATATTAGTTGTTTTGTGTGGAAAATATAGGACATACACATTATAAGTGATGACAGTACAGGCCATTATTTTTGAAAAAGGTTCGATGGTGTTTGTATTTCCACATCAACATTTGTGGCTTTTAATTTTGATTCAGTTTTTCTCTCTTTCTCAAGTTACTAATTTTGTTTTTTAATCAAGGAGAAGCAGTGCTTTATGTACAAAGGGAAAATTACAGTGGCAATGAATAAGCTAAGCATAAAACAATTCACAATGTTCCCAACAGAAAATTGGGCTTTTGATACATTGTATTCCCCCACATTCCTTGGCAGTCCTCCGGCTGGTATCCCAAGGAACTGCATGGTGGAATCTCTCATGTGTCCCCTTCCTTGCTACAACTATGGCTCTATTTTTATTTCCCCTTTTTTCTCCAGGAGTGCTTTGCTGATGCCGTGATAGCCACTCCACTAGTGCCCAAACAGTACGATGGAGCAACTGTCCTTTAAAAAATATACATGACCTAAACTAATAATTGTAATATTTGTTAGGACTTGCACTCAAATCTACCTAGAGTTGTGATTCTCAGGTACAAGCTGCCATATTGTAATACCCTTGCTTTCAGAGTCAGGTGACCTTAGTTATGTTTGCTTGCTTGCTTGCTTGCTTTTTCTGGTATTGCTCTGCTTCACCAAGCCATCTTTTCATATCAATGCTTTTTATGACTATCAAATCATATTTGAATTGATGAGCCAAATATGTATTTTAATTTCCCAATATATCCTTGGTTTAATGAATGTGTTACTTTTCAGTCTTTCTCAGAACTCTTTGTGAAGTTCCTTGAAACAGAATCACGCCCAACTCTTCCCCCACCAAAACTCTCTGTTCATGACATGAAACCTTTAGGAGCAACAGGAATTGGCAAACCCAACATTAGCCCTTCCAGCAACATGACAGGTAATGAATTCTAGTAATGCCTTTTATTTTTGTAAGGTAGGAAATGTTGAACTTGAGCACGTTCACACTGGATATTCAAGGTCGCATTGGTTGCACAGCACAAAGAACATGCTGAGTAAAATTAGAAGTGTTTATTAACTTAGCAAAATTGTGTTGTCATTTACAACTGAGCATATCTTTGCATGGTAATAGCCTGTTAGCACAGCAGAAAACCATCTTGTGACATGATCTCTTTTTGACTTATAAATTCTGGCTTCTTCAGGGAGAGACTAGAGTTTCTGGTTTTCAAGTAATTCTGAATGGAAGATCTGTAGTTTCCTATTTGTAGGAACAGCCAAGTAGCAGTGATTGGGTAACGTGTTAGCATGCAGCTCAAGCACATTCAGTGTGTCTTTTACACTTTTTACAACAGAGAATATCTTTACATCCAAAGTGAGCCTTACTGTAAAACCCATAAGCTTTGCCCTTCATTTCCAACATGTTGGAACTGGGCCTTCCTTTGCCACCTGGACCCTAAGGCAATGAGCTCTCTAAGCCAATGAGGTGAGCTCTTCACTTCATAGCAGGATAAGAATGTTGCATGATGCTTGCAGGTTAAATAGGGCTGTGGAATATGACTTTAATAAAACTTTAATAAAACAGTGCCTTACATAGAGAATGATGCTTGGTACAGTGTTTTTAAAGTTTGTTTGGATTAAAATTGTTGCAGTAAAGCTGGGGAATTTCCAGTCTGAAAGCTTATCTTTGAAAGTTTATATTTTCAATAAAATGTTTTGTATGCCTTTTGTCCCCTTCACCACTTGTGGTATAATAGCAAAGGTGCCCTATTTTGTTTGGCAGGCACCCAGTTTTCTTGTCTGGACAAAAAGTTAGAGGAACTTTGTCCATTCAGGAACTGGACTGTTGCCCTATAGAACCAGATATGAATTCTAGCTATCCCTTAATTGTTTGGGTATGTAAGTTTTTTAATATTTAGCATAGTTTAACAGACATAAATACACAGTTCCCAGGTCACCAATAATAAATGAAAGATTTATCTCTGCCCATGGTATTCATTAACTCCTGAAAAACTCACTTTTGTTTTTGAAATAAAAGTTTCTGTTCATATTCATGTGGAGGACAAATCTTATAAATGCCTGGTTCACACAAGAAAGTAGTAAATTGCAAAATCAAGCTATGTGTATGCAGCATCTTGCCACACTGATTACATGATTGTTCCCTACACCACTGCAGAATCTTTTACATGAGGACTTTTCAAGAGACTCTTACACCATGTTTGTGTGAAATTTGCCTGCAGCCCTCGAAGGATGAAGGAAAAATAGTGTCTGGCTGTAATGAATGTATGGTAGATGATAGATGTGATAAGTGCCCTCTTGAAGAACAGTGGTTTCTTAGTGGCCTTGACAGAGGCAATGGTGAAGTTGTTCGTGTGTGGGGAAAAAGGCAACTTACTGTACAAGGTTCCACCTAATGCTAATCTTATCTTGTAGCATTACATGCACAAGCTGGAACACAACTTCAGCAACAGGTTGACACACTCCCTCTTCCTTGCACATGGCCAGAAGGAGGAATAAACCAGAATTAAAGTTCAATTTAGGAAATTCCTGATTTGTAAATGTGAACAAAAATTGCGCTTTAAAATAAACTCTACCTTGCTTGGTGAACTACAAATATAATCCAGGAATTGAAAAGTAGTTATTGACTAGTGTTTATCTAAACTATTGACTAATGTTTATTTAAACTAACATAACAAATGAGGAATCTGTTACAATGTTAACTGTAGGAACCATCAATCACTGCTTTCAAAATTTACTTAAAAAAATTAGGTTCAACTGTATGGCTTCCATTTATATTTATGATGGAAAAGTAAGGTAAAATACGGAGTTTTTTGGCCTGGTTTGTGTGTCATGGTAACTCGTTTATTTCACCTATGATTAGTTGCCCTACCCATAACTTTTCTGGCAAACCCTTAACCAAATGTTGGATTGTTTTCCTCAATCCCTTGGTTGTTAAGTTTTCCTCCACATTCTCCTGCTGTCTCTGTAACCCAAATGTTCTGGCAATACCTTAGTATTGGCATGCAGAGTGGCTGGAATTCCTTGACCACTCTTGCTCTCCACCTTTTTAGCATTGTGAAATAGGACGAAAATATTCCACAATTCTAAGTTCACATGTGAAATAACCTACAATTTCAAATGCCCAGCTTCACAATTCAGCATGGTTCAGCACAGCTGCGTTCACACATCACAGCAACTCATACTATGGATTAGCTGCATTTAATTATCTGCCACTTAATATAAAAGTGTTTTTAATATTTATCTGCCACTTAATATGAAAAGTTTCTCTTAAGTGGATAAAATTTCTGTATTAAAAACATCACATTCAAAATGCCTATTTAAACAAGTTCAATTACAATAACATACAAATACATTTAAAATACACAATTAAAATTATTTCAAATCACAAGAACAATACAAAGAATAGTAAGATGGAACAACATATAATTGTGCAATTATTTATAAGTCAAAGCAGGCCTGCATGAACAAGTACCATTTTAGGAGGTATTTGACACACACCTCGCTGAAACATTTTGAAACATTTCTGCCTCTCAGACTGCGCAGAGGGGGGCAGTTAGGTGGCTGCTGACACTGAGAAGACTTGCTTTGAGGCATCACATGGCGTTCCTTCAGTAGTGGAACAATGAGGAAGGCCTTCTCTGGAGGTTTTAAAGGTCACCTTGGACACATATATGGGAAGATGATCTGCAGGAAGGTGATTAGGTTACTGAATTTTCCATTGATGTTGTAGTATTAAAATGGGGCATCTGGGAGTATTTGATACTAGACTTTGGTAGAATAGACAGCTTTTGCAAGGACATAGAACATTACCAAACTAGATGTGATTATATCAATTATAGCCTGTAATCAATTCTTACAGAGAAATTGATCATAAATTGACGTCTTCCCCATGAGTCTTCTGTAGTTTACTCAGTTTCTTGCCAATTTTATATGACTCTTTCTTTCCAGGTTTTTGAGAATTGTGAAACAATGGAAACATTGCAGGAAAAATGCATTTCATTAAGCTGTGATTTGGCTGTAAATATTTACAGCTTATGGCTGGTATCCAGTACTGCTGCTGTGCTTCCAGCTGATCTGTTGCTTAAGTGGGACCCACCACTCACACAAAAGGGAGTGAACAGTTCTAAAAACAACCACACAAACAAGCAAAAATGCTTGTTTCTCAGTCAGGCCAGCAGAGCTTTCTTTTGCAAGCTCTGATGACCTGCCCCATTGTAGAACTGCACAACTGCTTTTAGAACTGCAGTTAGCCAGTGCACTAACTGTGGGTCATGCTGGTATGCAGACAGGCTTGGATATGTTGTCTATTGTATACTCATGCCCTGCTTGTGGATTTGGGCAGCTGATTGAAAACAATTCTGGAGTAGATGGACCCTTGGTTTGATCTGTTACGGTTCATCTTGTGTGTGTATATGTATTGCTGTAAAACTAGAGACAGGTATTTTGAAGTTAATTCTCTGGAGAAGGCTTCTTCAGAAGGCAATCTTATTTTAGGAAAACAATTTTAAAGTAATATTTTAACCTTACTACCTTATTGTTATAAATCCAGCAGGCTCAGGACCCAGTAGAAGACAAGAGGCAAATCCATTCCTTGCACCTCGATCAGCAGCAGTCCCACTCATCACCCCAGCTAATTTTGGAACTGGTGGATCAGGTCATCTGCTTATGAAACCCATTTCTGATGCCTTGCCCACTTTTACACCATTGCCAGTATCACCCGATGCTAGTGCTGGTGCAGTACTAAAAGATCTGTTAAAGCAATAGACAATTCTGAGTTGATTTAGCACTTTAAGGAAAAAGAGAACACTGCATTTGTATAATATACCACAAAGAGGCCTTTTGTAAAAAGTTGTTCATTTTCAGTTGCTCATGAATTGTTTCTGTTTCTTCTCCTACCAATTTTAAAATGAATTTCTGGAGTAATCCATTGCTTTGGAGATTTTATAGCAAGTAACAGAAAAATAGTCTTCATTATATTTAGTTTACTAAGTTATCTTTCCAATGGAAAAAGCCAGTCCACATATTAATAGAAATTAAGGTTAGAGGTTTAATGGATTTATGCAAGGCCTTTAGGCAATGCAACATTCATTTTAACACACCAGTGTGAATTTGACCGCATGTGCAGTTCTTTCCTTTGACAAAGATTTCTGAATAGCTATTTAATGTATAGGTGGGATATTATTTTAGGGTATCTTTATATTAAATGGACCCAGCTTCCCCAGAAAAGTCTGTAAACTCATTAGGAATCCAGTACAATGGGGTAGGTAATAGCCTGTTGGATACATTTGGTCCATTTAAGTATCACTTAAGTAGTTCCAACCCACGTCTTCTGGAGCCTGGAATGATGAGGAAATAAGTAAATTCTGCAGTTTATGCTAGGGAACCCTGTGGGTCTTATGTTCACATTCCTTGCAGCAAGTCAGATTATGCTTTACTCTTGGTACGGTACTTCAATCTAGAAAAGTCCTCTTTCATTAAATAGGAGAAATGGTTTCATATTATCCTGGGTAGTACTCATCTTGAATGCTTTCTTTTAAGCATCCTCTCTGATTTAAATTGAGTCAGCATGGGCTTGCATGATGACATGATGTGCCATCATGTGAAGGCATCAGTTCAGAAGGAATAAATTGTCTTCAAAACATATGGCTTGAGTAGACCAAGTCTGTTTTCTGGGTATGTGGCAACAGGAACGCAAGAATGTTGTCTCTGGGTCACCAAGAAATAGTTTAAGTCAGCCAGAGCTTAATTAATTAAATAGGGAGTATGCACTAGGAAGTGTGGTGTTTTTACTCATGCACCTGTGTGTATGCATATACCCCTTTCTGTTACTGCCAGTACTGGCATCAGTGAAAGAGGATGTTTTTATTGAAGTTCTGGGAGAGTTGTTAATTGCAGTATTTTGTGTGCAAGAATATCAAAGCCTGTCATGTTACTTCTCAATTTAATTTCCTAGCTCTAATAGTGACTTGGGATATTTAAATTTCCAAACCTACCAACATTAAATATTTTCCAGAAATTTTTCAGTTTTCTGCATTTCCACATTTAGTGGCTGACCACTAGCAGGAGACCCGGTATTGCATTTGGATATTCGTAGTGTAAATATGGTTGAAATATACAATAGTGTAATGGTTCAAGATGTATATTTAAAATAATTGCTTGTACACATACATTTGGATGGAGATTTAATGTATAATATATGTATAAAGCTTAAAATGAAGAATTATGTTTATTCCAAATATGTAAATATATCTACACTAGAACAATTAGAATTCTGTCAATCTTGCTGCACAACTTGTACCATTTATACTGAGTGTGTTACTGTTAACACAAGTACTGGAAGGCGTTCCCACCAACTTGGAAAAATGATTTGCAACGTGATCTCTCCTTACAGTGTCCCTTTTCTATAAAACTGGTTTTATGTCATTATTTGTGTAATAAAAGGTAATACTGGCTTGTATTTAAATAGTTTTTCCTGCTAACAGAATGGCTTTCATCAGTGGAACAGGGACGGGACAATTTCCCTTCTCCCCTGTAGACCTCTGCACCCTCAAAAAGTCTGTTTTGAAAGGTTGGACAATCCTCTGGAGCAAATTACGGGAAGGCATGGGGTGCAAAATGAGAAGAGGGGAAAGTCCCACTGTGCAAGCAGAAATCTGCTCACATGATGTTGGATTATGCCTATACCATAAGTTCTATGTTAGAACTTGCAGTCTTTTCTCCTATATCTCATAGTTTCCTGCAGTGTGAATTGAATTGTATTCGAATATAGAGTAAATAATTGAATTGTAGTTACCTAGAAACTGCCAAATTTATGAATGCAAATAGTGTTTTGTTGCTATTTATATAATGATAAAACTATATGCTTTCAAATCAATCTTTGACACGATTTGTATTCATAATTGTTACCTTTTGACTTTTCATACTCTTAACATTCTTTACTGGGTTTTTTTGGTATTTTAGAATGGGACAGATCATAGAATGAAGGAGATAAACTTAGGTTTTGGTTTGGAACTGTAGTGTTTGTTTCTATTAATTCCCAGTATGGATTATTTAACAGTATTTTGATAAACCTGATATCAGGAAGTTTAGCAGATACATTTTAGATGCCATTGTATGGATGTGCTTAATCTTAAAATTCAAAATGATTTCTTCACATATTTACAATTTTTACTTTCTTTGGAAAACCAGAAATTTTCTGATTGGCTGCCAGAAAAATTAAAATATTGCAACTGCAACTGTGCATTCTGTTACATACTTTAATATCAGGATGGTTATTCAGCTTTTTTGTTCACACAGAATATCTCCAGTGTAACATATAAACATGACTAGCAGGTATTGATAGATAGTCTTATCCTCTGAGAATTTATCTAATCTAGTTTTAAAGCCATCTGGGTTGGTGACCATCACAATATCAGATGATAGTGAAATTTACAGTAAATATGAGAGAAAGAAAAACTAATCCATTTTATCCATACCATGCATTATTATATACACCTCTATAACAGCCTTACTTGCCTTTTTAAATAAAACTTTACACAGGATTCCAAGTGCAGTCATACCATAGATAACTTTGAAGGCATGTTATTGAAAGTTTTATTTTCTGTCCCTTTCCTAATGATCTCCAACATGTGAGTACTACATGTTTTCTTTATAGTGCCCATTGGAATCCAAAAATTTCTTACCGGGGTCAAACGCCATCAGAATATATGTGAAGTTAAGGTTTCTTTTTTACATCAGTATGCCTCATTTTATATTTACATTGGATTGCAGTTGGTATTTTCATGTCCATTCACCCAGTTTGGAAGGAACATTTTACCACTCTTTCCTATGCCTTTTTGCCCCTGACCAAGCAGTCTTGCTGGCAGAAAGCAACAAGAAATTGAAACAACTACTTATGACAGTGAAAGAAGAAAGTGCAAAAGCAGGACTGCAGCTGAATATCAAGAAAACAAAAAATCATGATTACAGAAGAAGTACAGATCTTTACTGTTAGCAATGAAGAAATTGAAAATGTGAAAGATTTTACATACCTCGGCTCCATCTTATCAAGTCAAACAGTGACTGTAGCAAGAAATCCAAAGAAGACTAAGACTTGGAGGGACAGCAAGAATGGAACTAGGGGAACAATATTTACCTGGAGGCCAAGGCCAAGATCCTCCAAACTATTGTGCTCTGGATCACTAATGGTGTGAAAGCTGGACAATGAGGAAAGCTGACAGGAATAAACTTGATGTATTTGAAACATGTTGCTGGAGGAGAGCTTTGCAAATACTCAAGACCAGCAGAAAGAAGAGGGTTCTAGATCAAATCAAGGCACAATTTTCCCGAGAAACAAAAATGACAAAACTGAGGCTGTCATACTTTGCCTTCTCCAGGAAGTCTTTCCTTCTCAATCATGCTAGGAAAAGTTGAAGGCAGAAGAAGAAAAGGAAGAGCAAATTTGAGGGATTCATTCCATAAAGGAAGCCACGGCCTTGAGTTTGCAGAGCTGTTATGTGTAGGACATTTTGGAAGTCTTTCATTCACAGGGTTGCCTTAAGTTGGAGATATCTTGACATCAAAGAACAACAACAAGCAGCCTAATAAAATATCTTTTAAAAATGATATGTTGGAAAAATAAAAATTGTTTTAAAAAATCTTTGCCTTAGTCTAGCTGTAGACAGACCTACTAACACATCACTTCCAGAATGTGGATACATAACTGAACACACATGCAACTGAAAAGTGAAACAGAGCGAACTGATGCCCTCTACATTCAGATATGCATCCATGGATGTAAATTGAATGTGTAGATTCAATTTACATCTGGAGATGAAATATTTTTATACACATCATCAATCCTACACAAGTAGTTATACATAATTATGAGCACATGAAGCTGGATCAGCAACTGTAATTGTGCATTCCTGTTGTGTCCTATTGATAAACTGTGTAGCTAAGGAATGCATTGCGTAGGGGGTTGGGCTCAATAACCTTATAGGCCCCTTCCAGCTCTACTATTCTATGAATCTATAAAATGTTTACTAGTATAACCTTGTTAGTTTATAAATTCCTGTTCCTGCTACTGTTGCAAATTAACAATAGTGTTCCAAGTGTCAACTGAGTAGAAAAATCCCTGTTTGCTTCATTGTGATTATGGAGTTGACCCTACACTTTATAAAACATTAAAACATATATTTTAAAAGTCCTATAAAATAAAAAAATGAAAGAAGGGGTTTTCACAATGGTACAGACAGGCTGTGAAAGAGGAATAGTACAAGTATAAGATTACTCAGGCCAAAAATGTTGTGCTTGTTTAAAGAATTAAGCAATACAAGTGCACAGTGGAGGGATCAACAGCAAAAAAAAGAATGTATTGTGAACTATCCACCCTATGGTATTTCAAAGATGAAAATATGGATTTGTTTGTATATTTTCAGCATCCCAACAATAGCTGGCACAGCCATGTGTCCTCATGACTGTGGAAGGGTAATCACTCGCTTTTCTTTATTTTGCCCTACCCTGATTTAAAAGCAGAGGGGGTTGATCGCTTCAACTAGATATGCTGGAAAGAGCACACTTGCTCTGTGGTATCTGTTCAAATAGACCTTACCACTCAGAGCATGAGAAATAGCATCCAATGTGCTATTATGTGCCTTGGTATTCATCTGAGCAATTCCATCCATGTACAGTAAATCACAATCTGCTCCCAGCTGGGTGTGAAGTGAGGCAGGGATAAATAATGAATGGTAACAAGTAACTTAGATTGATATATAAATTAAAAGGCCTCTGTGTATTCAACAAATTATTTCATTTCTGAACCACCCTGTAGCCAAAGCTCACCTGAAATGGGGTGGTAGAAGGGGGGAAATTAATTACTAGAGACAGGTACCAAACAATCACAGGACCATGAGATTGAGTCTTTCTGCAACAAGTAGGAAAACTAGATTGCACTGTTTTTACATATACAGTACAAGGCACTTAGCATAGTAGCATTGTACATAAAGCAAATTTTGTCTGCAAATTACTGCTATTTCTCTTTGCAGTACCAAATGCTAATGATGTTGCACTGGTTCAATATCATTTGTTGTTCAATACTACCCTTAGTCTGCATTTTAGCAGCTTCAGTTCAGACAGTTAGGGTATGGTAGATGCTATTAATCTCATTTTTTTTCGCTTTTGATTTTGACCAGATATTGTATGTCTGAATTTTAACTATGCCTATAAACTTTCAAGTTGAGCTAGCAACAAAATAACTCACTGTAATTGGGCAATTTAAATTAATAGGCTTTGGGTTTACATTTAGACAGAGGCTGCAATGTCTTCTATTTAAAATTCACACTATTTGCATTTAGCTTTGAATATTTAATATTATTTAATGTTAATGATATATGGCCTTTCCCAACTGAGCAGCTGTTGGTTTTTAAAATAAAAGAATTATGACACTTGCTCAAATAGTTTACAGCTGCTGAAGATGTCAAATCTCTGCTGAATGAATGCAGTGAAACTGCTAAAGGTTTAACCGTAACAAGAAGTCTGATTATATATATAAAGTTTTAAAAGCTTCAGTACATACTACCGCTTTTGCTATGACAGATGACTGGAACATGTTACTGATTGACCTGACTTCAGTGTTGGGGAGGGCAACAACAAGTACAAAAAGCAATGTCCCTACAGACTTCAATTGTTAGTGGATCTAAATTCACCAAATGATCACTACTAACTAATGGAGTGTTGATGGCCAAATCCATTAAATTTTAAAGGATTCATACTGTGTGGTTGTGTATAATTTCATCCTTGAGGGTTTCTATATTTCTTGAGGCTGAATCCAAGTTTTTAAAAACCGTTTTAATCATCTTTTACTAGAATCTCTGTACCCCAGAGACATGTTTTTTTATTTACAAAGTAAGAATTATTATGTAGAAACCAGTTAAGATGGCAATTTATATTTGGTTACCTACAAGTAAACCCCATTGCACACTATAGGGCTTACTTCTGAGTAAGGCATGTACAGATAGCACAGAACAAGTAATCCTTGTTAAGGATTCCTGGGTATGAAAAGCAACTGATTTGGTGGGGAGGGGGAAAACCCTCAGTAGGAAATGTTTGTCTTCATAACTGCATCTTTAGAAATTACCCAAGATATTTGTCTGGTATGAAAAAGCAGCAAAGATTCTTGTAGCACCTCAGACTAAAGCATATTGTGGCATAAACCTTTGTGGTCTACAGCCCAAAAGTCCACAGAAGTTGATGCTAGAATAAAATGTCTTTAAAGTACCGTAAGACTTGTTATCTTGAGAAATGTTTAATGTCTAACATTATAACACTATGCTAGTGTAATTGGGAAGTTTCTCAATGACAGGATTTTGAGTGGAAGAGTAATGTCAGTGGTAAATTTCTCACTCAACCCACCAGAAAATGGCTGCTGTAAACCAGTTCTTATATTGTAATCCACTAGGGGCGGGGAAGCCTTGCCAAGAATAGCATCAGGGAGAGGACAGGAAGGGAGGGAGAGAAAGAAAAAGTAAATGAGAGGGGCAAGGCAAACCTGAAGTAGATGTGTTTGTATATAGAGGGGGAAATGGGCTTTTTATATTTAGCCCTCATGGTAGAAGCAGATTTCTAGCACAACATAGAAAGCAAAGACGTTGAAAGTTTTCTAGAGAAGCCCAGTGTTGTGGAGAAAACAAAGTTTCCCTTTGTGGAAGCTTCTAGATAGGGAATTTGGTGGGGACAAGCATGGGCTACCCAAGGCACTTTGCCATCTGAGAGGAAGGCCAAGGTAGTGTCCTTCCCCCTTCCATGTATAGAAGCTAACCAGACTAGGTGAGTGGCTGAATTTTACTTCAACACTGGCACTGACAGAGCCCTCTACTGTAGCTGAGGGCAGTTAGGAAGTCCAGGGCTGGACACATGGGAGTCTTAGCTTTATCCTTCAAAACCTTGCTGCACTTCTCACTCAGCAGCATCTGTTGTTTGGTAGAACAAACTAGGCCATGCATGGGGATGGGTGAACTGCTGCTGTTACGGCTGCTGAGGAACAGGGCAGATCGATGGGGAGAACTTGGATTATCTTGTTTCTTGGATTATCTAGTTTCTCAATATGAAGGCACAAATGGTAGGGCAGCTTAATTTTTGAGGAGAGGTGTTGGCATCAGGGTAGCCTCCTTGGATCAAATAATAGTTTCACCTAGTCCATCCTTCAGTCTGGTACTCTCCAGCAGTTTTTGACTACAGCTCCCATCAATCCCCATCA